TATAATAGATGAACTAATAAAAAAATAGAGAGCATATTATGCATTAAAAAATAATTATTATTAATTTTTATGACGAATTTTATAGTTTAATAGCCATTTATTACTTATTATGTTGCATTTTTTGTTAACGAGAACTATATTTATTTTTGAATATTTCTTATAACTGTAAATACTATTTTACTGTTAACTTAAAAAATAATAATTGTTAATATTTAAAACAATATTTATAAGTCTAGAAATGATTTTTTGTAACTTTTTGCTTTGCCAGATTGGCAACAGTCCGAATATGGACATTAGCTAACTTGCAACGTTTTTATCGAAGACGCAGTTAAGCCTAACGAATAAAAAGTGATTTAATAGAACATAACAAACATATCCCTTTTATAAAATTAAATTTTAAAAAAGTTTTGGTATATATCCAGACCAAATAAAAGGGATTGCTCTCTTGTTCTTCGAACATTTTAGTTGCATGATCCATTCATCCTGTTTGACTTCAAACCACTTCAATTCCAAAATGTATTTCTTTTTTTCTATCAATGATAGGAAAAAAATATACTCCCTGTCGAAGATTAACTAAAGCAAAAGTCGTGATTAACTATCTGTCTGTGAGTGTTAGTATTAAAGCTTCCGAAGTAAGAGGCGGATCAAAATCTTGACTTCCGAAAGGGGAAAAAAAGCGATAAGGGCAAATCATAAAGTTATATTAAGGAGGAAATCGGCTTCTGAATTATGACTTAATGGCCCAGCTGAGCCAAAATTTATGGCCAGGCATTGGCGAGGGAAAGATGGGTCATCAAACTGCTCTCGGAATAAAGAAAAGAAGCAATATATATACTCTAGGTATTACGAATTTATATATAAGGCTGTACACTGACCTTAGAATTTCACTTCTTTGCTCAGAAGTTGAGATTTCTTAGGACGCTTCTGTTTTGATTTTTTTTCCGGCTTTGAATTTCGATGAGAGATTAACTTTGATTTTTAAGAAAGAGACACAACACTCAAATTAATAAATTCTATAAATTTTGATCTAAAATTTATGAACTTTGATTTGAAGAAATCCTAACAAATACATTCCAGTTTTTTTTTCTTTTCTTTTTTGAGCAAAACAAGGGATTTTAAATAAAAAATACATTTTAATCCAGACAACTTTGATTTAATTATCCCGTAATAAAAAAGCAAATTTTCTAAGCAATAAATGATAGTTACCCGATCACTTAACAGGCACAAGTATTTATTGCAAAAGAAATATTTTAACTTCAGTATTATTAAAGTACCACATTGGAATAACAACATGCATATTTATGCACTAGTTAACACTAGTTATTTTTAATACGTTATTTCTGGAATAAAATATGTCTGAAAAAAAATGACTGCTTTGAATTTATATATAAAGTATAGAGGTCCTACAATGCTATTATATAAAGGTTATTCTGCAGAAGAAACATGCTTGATTCCATAAAGCATTGCTTCCCAACCTCTTCATCGCTGTGGACTGGTCAACATTTGATAATTTTAACACGGCCTGCTAGAGGGAGAACGTTGATTGTTCATATTTTGTATTACTTTGATTTAATAATTTTAATTTTATTTTATGTAAATACGCTTTCAGAGATAAAATAGAGTTACACCAAAATATTAAAACAACGTGATTTAACATGGAATGTAAAGTGTTTTCCATAGAAAGTCGCTCAAACCTGAAAGAAATACACTTCAGTAAATAAAACGGAAATAAATTAATGTTCCTTGGATGGCCCGGTCAACAGCCCGGGGGTTGCAGACCATTGCCATAAAGGATATTGAAAAATAACTGAAAATATTCAGTTATATAACTGCTACTCTGTGTTAAATATTATTGATAACTGCTGGAAGTTTTGGAAAATATATTGTAGGGTCAAAGACATTTTTTAATAGATGTTTAAATATTTGTTTACTTGTGAACAAAAATTTTAAGCTGGTCGACCAACGTTGAATATCGGCATGGTTTATTTTACCTTATTTGTTTATACTTATTATATTTAATGGTTACTGAAGTCACACATTATTACTATTCAACTATTTTACAACGTTTTAATACAGGCGAGCTTTTATAAATTGTTCCAAGATCCGAAGTGCCATTTTCTTAAGAATATAAGCTCTAGAGTGATTTTAATCACATTTGGCACGATTCTTAAAAAAGTAGGAGGTTTTGTACAAATTAGCCAAGATAAAATATTCTATAATAATTAAAATATTAGTCTGTACTGTGTACGCTCATCCTTTTTTTTTTGTGAATAAGCGTATTAATTTTTTTAGTTCTCTGATATATCATCAGAAATTTCACATTCAAATACATTTTACTTTTCACCTCCCCATTTTAAAAACCCATGTTATAAATTATTGGCTTTTTATTCTTACAAATATCAGTGACGTAACGGAAAATATTAGGGTCCCCAGCAAAATCAGTTTTGCCTTTGATATTTTATAAATTGATTAAATATGTACTTGGCGTAAGTCAAACTTTGGGCCCCCTAAAATCCTGAACCTCTCCACAATGTTGGGCTTGCGGGGGAGTAATTACGCCTCTGACAACTTTGTATTTCTTCATTCAACAAAAACTGTATTCGAAGAAAGATCCTAAATTTAATGCAGCCATATTTAATAAATAGAACATTAGGGTAATGAAAGTTCTACCAATACAAATGCACAAATTTTTACAAATGTAGAACTATAGACGTTACAGATTAAACTAACTGTGTTACATTCGAAGTTGTGAATACAATAAAGTTTCCTTTTCAGTGTAACGATTATCAATTTATGTTAGGTTACATACAGACAACTATATCATTAAGAAAAATTATGGATAAAGAACAAGGATGGTTTTTTCGTGACCCTATTCTTCCTTCACTTGGCCTGGACTAAAGTTTAATGTCGCTAGAGGGCGCTTCTCCTGTTTGGGAAAGTCAGTTACAGTTATTAGGACAAGAGCGGTTATACAAATATGTATGATCTTTTACAGCAGTCTAGGTTAGTATTTCTCAACCATTTTCAATCCCTACACTATTAGCTCACACTCTCTATATATTTATCTTGTTCAAATTTTCAATCGTTAATAAAATACTTTCTATTCATCCAATCAAGTTCAAATATTTTTCTTAACTTGTAGTGGATGACACTTGATGTTAATTCAGATTTTCAAATATTAATTCATTAATTAAATTTTATTTTTTAATTTTAAATTTATTTTGCGTTGTTTCCGTCGCAGTTACAATTAGTTGCAACAGATGGCGTCAGTACGTTTTTTCTAATAAAGTATAAATTGATGATAAACTTTTTTATATGTATTACTTGTTTCTTACCATGCCCTCGTAAGCATTTTAAAAATTCGTATGCTCCCCTCCCTATACATATACATATACATATATATACTTAAAAGAATAAGGTCTCAGGAAATGAGTAAAAATATTATCATTAATACAGTAAGAAAATTTTTAAAACTTACAATGGAAAACTGAAATAAAAATAAAAAATTTAGTGAGATCTTTGCAATGGATATTTGTTGATGCATATTAAAATACCCAAATGTGAAAAAAATATATATATATGGAAAATGTTTTTGGAAATTGATGTTTCTAAAAATGAAATTAATAAAAATTATTAAATGAATTACCTTTCATATATCACTAACATTGTATCAATTTATGTATTTTTTTAAACAAGGGGGTTTTATAACAATTTTACAGACGTTAATTTTGAATTACCTCCAACGATTAGTAATAAACGATACTGCAAAACACTGAAGAAACATAGATCCCAGCATTAATTATTTCGTACCATTCAAAACAAATAGTACGATGGTGTTTAGAAAGAATATTTTATCGTCACGAGGACAGAGATATTAAATAATTTTAATACAGTTAGTCTCATATTACACAACCAAGTAATGAAAAATCTTTTTCATAATCGGCTATATTATGCTCTAAATGAGTCATTTTTTGAATTGCCCCCCCCTACCCCTTTAAAAATCAAATTGCCCTCTTGTGGAGTGTAGGCCCCACGTTTAGAAACATTGTGGGCAAGGTTTAGTTTAAAAAATTTTTCTCCTTTTACAAAAAGTTCTATCAATTCAGTTGGTACAACAATATGAATAATTTGAATGTGAGTGAGTGAATATTAACGTCACACTGTTCAGCTACACGAGGGTTTTTGGCGACGGACCACGTAATTTTGAACCATAGTCAAGTGACGTGGACGACACCTGAGCTGGCATCCCCCCTCCTAACTACCACACCACACCAACGGGAGGACGTTTCAGCTCTCGACAGATTTAGCGTGAATCGCTGCCCTACACGGCGGGTCTTTAGTGGTACTGGGCTCTAACTTGTGACGAAGCCAGCCACAAACCGATACCTATACCACTCGGCTACCGCGGAACAGGAATAATTTGAAATAAAAATAAATATAACAAATAATTTAAAATAGTTCTTTTAAGTCCATTCCTACTTAGGTCAACAAAGAAAAATTTATAATTTAGTTACTTTTTATTAAATAACTACAGTTAATACAAATATGTATATACATATGACAAAATAACAATATTAAATGACAATATAAAAAGCGATTTTTCATTTTCCTTTCCATAAATGGTGTTGAAAAGCGTCGTATTGAGGGCGCTGATCTGTAACGCGAAAATTTGTTTTGTTACGTGGAAGAGCTTAGTGGTAGGTGATCTACCATTTTGTACAGTTGTAAGGTGTAATTGCCCTAATAATAGGGTCGGTTGCCCTAATAATACAACCTAAGTTTTAATTATATATGTTTTTTACGTGTTTCTCAATGTCCGTGTCGTCCCGTAATAAAAGTTTTCTAAAAGACAAAAAAAGGAAGTTGTCTTTATCTGACTAACTGTTATGTATATGGTGTTGGACTATTATTTTTCTTGGTTACTGTTTATTCATTAATTAAATTGTATTATTCCAATAAAATAGTAAAGTGAAAAGAAATCATATTCTCAGAAATTAGGCCATCCCAGGTGGAATTCAAACCCACGACCTTCGAGTTAGAAATTCAACGCGCTATCCATGGCGCAACAAGGACACAACGAACGAATTTCCTTTCTATATAAAATGTCGGACTATTATTTTTGTTTGTTACTATTTATTCATTAATTAAACTTATTTTATGAATTAATATTTGAAAAACTCTATTAACATCAAGTGTCATCCACTACAATTTTAAAAAATGTATTTGAATTTGAGTGGATGAATAAAAAGTATTTTATTAACGACTGAAAATTTGAACAAGATATAAAGAGTGTTTTTTTTCCAGGTATAGAAGTTTAAGTTGGCATTACTTTCCAAGATGGCGACCGATTTAATAGTTGTGAAGTGATTTATTCTCAGTTTGGTTTGGCAATTCATCATGAATAAACTCACGCCTCATAGAGATTCGTCGAATGGGCCCAAAACGAGATTGCCGTTGTTCCCGATTTTCATAAGCGAATTTTGTTTAGCGATGAAGCGCACTTCTGGTTGAATGGCTACGTCAACAAACAAAACTGCCGCATTTGGAGTGAAGCTAATCCACAAGTGTATGTCGAAACACCGTTACATCCAGAAAAACAGACTGTTTGGTGCGCTTTATGGGCTGGTGGAATCATTGGTCCGTACTTCTTCAAAAACGATGAAGGCCACAACGTTACAGTCAATGGTGATCGGTATAGAGCCATGATTACTAACTTTTTCATTCCAGAATTGAACAATCATGATGTCCAGGAGCTGTGGTTCCATCAAGACGGCACAACATGTCACACAGCTCGTGCCACAATCGATTTATTGAAAGACACGTTTGGTGACCGCCTCATTTCACGTTTTGGACCTGTGAATTGGCCTCCAAGATCTTGTGATTTAACACCGCTATACTATTTTCTGTGGGGCTATGTAAAGTCATTGGTCTATGCGGATAAGCCACAAACGCTTGACCATTTGGAAGACAACATTCGCCGTGTTATTGCCGATATACGGCCACAAATGTTGGAAAAAGACATCGAAAATTGGACGTCCAGATTGGACTACATCCGAGCCAGCCGTGGCAGTCCTATGCCAGAAATCATATTTAAAATGTAATGCCACAAGATTATCTTTCGAATAAAGAAAATTTATGTCAATCGAATAATACATCGTTGTTTTATTGCAATTTGAAGTTCTATACCTCTAAAAAAAACACCCTTATATACAGTGGGCAACAAAAGTGTTCATACACTTGCAATTTCCTATAAAATTTAATGTTTTCGACTAATAAAAGTTAATATATTGTAACTGTAATTTTTTAATGATATCTGCAACTTATTCTTAATAAAATGACATAATTAATTTTTTTAAAATAGTTAAAAAAATAATTATCAAAAAGCTACTAAAAAATTACGCCACAAAAGTCTTCGTACACTTAACAAAAATCTCAACTTAGCTTTAAATATTGTATTTCTTTCCTAATTTAGTACTTAGTAGGATATCTTTTAGTGTTCACAACAACTTTTAAGAGTTTGGGTATAGATTTAATCAATTTTCCGTAATTTCTGCATTGATTTTCTTCCAAGCTTCTATGATTAGTTTTTACTTCATATTATGTGTTTATATGTCATATATTTTCTTCTTTTTTTAAAATTAAATTCTCCCCAGATATGTTCTACTGGGCTAAATAAAGTGATTGAGAGGTGTTTTCAGAATTTGGGAACAGTTATAGAGACACCAGTGGCGTACATTGAGAGCAGTGCACTTGGCGTCATTACCCTGTTAGAAAATTAAGTAGTCTCCAATATCCAAATTTTGGGTGGATAATTTAAAATTTCTCTTTAAAATAATTAAAGAGAGCTCATGATTCATAATACCACCAAAAATATCAAATTACCTAATTCTGAGGCCCATTTACACCCCCACGCCAGAACTCCTTCACTTTCATACTTCATCATGGAAGTGAAGGAGTTCTTGGAGGTAGAAGTGTCCTTGCAGGGGGGTGTAAATCAGCCTCAGAATTAGGTAATTTGGTATTTTTTGTTGATATTGTGAATCATGAGCTTTATTTAAATATTTTAATGAGAAATTTTAAAATTTTCCGCCCAAAATTTGGATATTGAAAACGACTTCATTTTTTAACGGACAATGACGCCACGTGCACTGCTCTCAATGTACGCCACTGGTGTCTCTATAACTGTCTCTAAATTATGAAAACACCTCCTCAATCACTTTATTTAGCCCAGTCGAACATATTTGGTGAGGTTTTGATGTAAAAAAAAAAGAAAACATGACATATAAACGCATAATGTGAAGTAAAAAACAATAATCACAGAAGAATGGTGGAAAATCGATGCAGAAATTACAAAAAACTGATTAAATCTATACCAAGACATTTAAAAGCTGTCGTGCACACTAAAAGATATCCTACTAAGTACTAAATTAAAAAAGAAATACAATATTTAAAGCTAAGTTGAGATTTTTGTTAAGTGTACGAAGACTTTTGTGGCGTAATTTTTTAGTAGCTTTTTGATAATTATTTTTTTAAAAAAATGGTTATAATATTTTTTAAAAATTAATTCATTCCATTAAGAACAAGTTGCAGTTATCATAAAAAAATTACTACAATATATTATTTTTTATTAGTCGAAAACATTAAATTTTATAAGAAATTGCAAGTGTATGAACACTTTTGTGGCCCACTGTATATATATATAAATAAATATATATAGGAAGAGTGTGAAAACTAGTGATAGGAATTGAATGAAAAAGGAATAATTGGAAACAAAAATAAATGTATAATAGATTATCCACCCGTAAGCTAGCAAGATCAAACGTTGTGTGTGTGTGTATAAACGTTTTTTTTTTTTCCTTTTTTTTTTGAAAAAATGTCTCTTGTCTGGATTCTATTCTTAAACAGTCAGTGAAGATAGATTTTATAAGCCTAAATTTCGTTATCTCTGGAAAATGACAAGTTTTCTTCGCTTTTCTTTGATAGCAATGCACTATGTTTCGTCATCAATCACGGAATAAGACACGGAGCCTCTTGTATTTGTCTGGAAATAGGTCAACTTTGCTCAAACATTTCAATTCTAAATCTTTTCGATCATTTGTCAGTTAAAATGCCAATCCTTTTTTCCCTCCGTTTCCTTTGAGGTAAAAATAAAAAATTTTAAAACTACTAAACTCGGTTGGAATTTTCTAAAGAATATGTGGACATTTTTTGACGAAAAATAATTCTAATCAAAGAAGGTATTGTTTTTAGCTCTCAATTTTTGAGCATGAAGGAAGAACGAATGACAAATGCAAAAGGATTGTGAGTTTTTCTCTAACGCTAATTATCTTCTGTCATTTGCAGTGCACAAAAAAGGGTATAAAATAATATACTTTTTTATTTTCCATCATTATTCTCTTCGCATTGTCGATTTCTACATTTTTTTCCTGCTTTAGAATCTGAAATTCATAAAATTCTTTTCTCGTTCAATATGAAAAGTATTCTTAGTAAGTTTATAAAAATATTTTATAATGTTCGTTAGAAATGCTTTTAAATTATTATATGAGTTTTTACAAAATTGTAATTGAGAATCTATAGCAAACATTAATTACTTTAGTTTGAATAAATTTTTAGAAAAAAAATAATTTTATGATATTTTAATTGCGTTTTAATCTCATGAGTATTACAAAAATTGATTATGTTTGATCAACTGACGGTAAAATTGTAATTTTTAATGGAAATTAAATGTCTTTTACTGCTTTTTAAAGTGTTTCATACGGATAGCAAATAAAAAATTATTAAAGCAATTAAATTAAATTGATTTTTTTATAATCCTTCATTAAAATAAACTAATTAATATTTTTTCAAATCATGTTCATTTTTCATAGAGAGAGTAAAATAATAATGTGGAAATTTGCGCCAGAAATTTTTTGTTATCCATTACATAAGGGAATTTTAAGCGCATGTTCCCTATGCGATGGGGAAATTCAAACAGTTAACGCAGAAGGAATAATTTCGTTTGGAACTGTGGCAACAATAATTTTTGTACCGATTTATTTTTATTCAATCGATTTTTGTTTGTAACACTATCGTCTGATTTTATATTTATTGTTTAAAAGACATATTTGGTATTATGTATATTTGTTTCTAAAAAATGGCGCATTGTTCATTTATAATATGATGGAAGAATTTTGAATTTTATATCTGGAATTGAACAACACGGACATTGAAATAAGGAAATATATTACAAATTTGTTTCATTTATGCTCAGAATAAACATAGTAAAAAGGATCCAAACAAATCTATGTTTACGAACACATATTTTACAAGATGAGAAAAAAACTGCCTATATCTTATTTATCGAAAAATTATACAAAACAACGGTGGAAAGCTAAAAATAAAATAAAGAAATTTTTTTTAGTTCAATATCCCATTTTTCTTTTAAAGAGACAAATCCTCATAAAAAAAACATCAATTTTTAAACAAACTAAAATCACAAACAATCTCTAGTTTCATTTATAAAGTACATCTATCGTTTCCTATATATTAAAAAAAAAACAACCCAAAACGTCATTCTGTTCGCTATCGATAGTAAGAAAAAAAGAACAAAACAAAAAAGAAATAATAATAAAAAAAAAGAGCAAACATTGAAACATAAAAGAAAATAAACCTATAAATTGTTTCTTACTCTACGAACAACAGCCATTCATTCTTTCATTTATTAAAGCTCTCCTCTTGGATAAGGTTCCAAATCACCTTTTTATATTTTTTCGAAGAGTTGTAAATTCACTTCCTGATTACAAAAAAAGAAAAAGAAAAGAAACATCTTGAAGTTAAGAAAAGGAGGGTTAAAAAAAACAAGAAAAAGATATTTTAAAAAGGAAAAGAAATTGAGAGAAAAAAATTATGGTGTAAAAAGCTTATGGAGGTAGGGAATTTCAAGAAGCCGTAGAATATAGTCAGCTGTACGTGGCATTTTGTTTCCCTGCCCTTATTATCTGCTTCGAAATTTTTTTAAAACTTTTTTTTAACATGCACAACAAGTATTCCTTTTTCCTTTAAAAATATTTTCCATTTTTCATAGCATAATGACG